TGGGGTAATCGGGATGGGTGTGTCAGAGGCGGTGCGGTTGGCGCAGGATAGAGCAGGGTTTAGGGCTGTTGTGCATAGGGTCCCTATGAGTCGGAAACAACTCGACGGCACATAACAACAGCAACAACATTGTGTGCCATCAAGTCAGAACCATCCCACAGCTGAACCTGCAGCATGTTTTCAGAGACTGTAAATCTCACAAGAGGAGAATGCCCACCCTTCTCCTGCAGAGCACCTGCTGGATTTTACTGCATGCCTTTGAGATAATAGCACAGCTTCTTATCACTAGGCCACCAGAGTTCCCTTACCATCCCATAGTTTACATAGTTATAATACATTTCATTATTTATTGTGCTAAATTATAGTTTTAATTCAATTTTGCATTCTTTTAGTAACTATAATTTTTTTTTTCTTTTTTATATCGTGATGAGAACACAGCCACTTGGGGAGGGTGGTGGGGCCAACTAAGGAAGAATAGGGGAAGTGAAGAGGGTGGGTGGACTCTTAAAGCTCTCATTTATAGACAGAAAATGCACTTGTAACTATAATTCTTTACATTTAAAAAATAGTAAATCTGTTTTCTTTCATTTGTTTATATTCTACCTCTTCTCTGATCTCTGGTCTCACATTTCCAGCTTCTTAATATATCTTGCTGTCTGGATTTCAAGAGATACCTTGCATTTAGAGCAATTACAGTTCTAATCTTAGTCTTAAAGACACCAGCACCCACCAATTTAATTTACCAAAGGCTTGAAATCCTTAACGTGCATTTATTCCATGATCAAATCTCGTCAGTCTTCCCTCTAGAAATGTCTCTTAAATACTGCATCTTTTCATTTCCTACTTAAGATGTTGAAGCAGTATACTTGACTCCTTTGTTTTCAATCATCAAGCGCTCACTCTTCTAATTTGCTCTGCGTTGTATTTTTCTAACAAATCTAGTCACAAACTTCGCTACCCCTTGTTTAGAAAGTCTTCTGTGGTTTTCCCACTGCGTTTAAAATAAAGATAATTTCCTAAGTATGTTGTTGTTAAGTGCCGTCGAGTCGCAGGCGACTCATAGAGAACCTGTGAAGGAGAGTCCTCAATGCTTGGATGTCTTTCATCCTCTCTCCAGGTTCATAGGGTTTCCGGAGGCAAGCTGTTACAGAAGTGGATGCCACTCCTCCTTCCAAGCTTGTTTTGATTGGGGAGCTCCACCCCATTCTGTCCACATTGGGAAACCAACCATTAACACATTTGACACATCCTAAGTATAGCAGAGCAAATTCTTCACCAGATGACCTGACTCTAATTTTCCAACTTCATAACCCTACACTTTAGCCATATAAGGAATTAATTTGGAGTCCCTGAATTAAGCAGAGAACTGCCAGAAGTCCAGACTGGGTTTAGAAAGGGTCGTGGTACTAGGGATATTGTAGCTAATGTTAGATGGATCTTGGCTGAAAGGGAGTACCAGAGGAACGTCTATCTGTGCTTTATTGATTATGCAAAGGTGTTTCATTGATTATGCAAAGGCATTTGACTGTGTGGGTCACAATAAACTGTGGCTGACTCTGAAAAGAATGGGAATCCCAGAACACTTGATTGTGCTAATGCAAAACCTGTACTTGGACCAAGAGGCAGTCGTCAGAACAGAGCACGGGAAGAATGCATGGTTCAAAATTGGGAAGGGTGTATGCCAAAGATATGTCCTATTTCCATACCTTTTCAACCTGTTTGCAGAATGAATTATCCGGGAGACTGGGCTCTTTAAGGAGAATTGTGGCATCAGGATTGATGGAAGATCTATCAATAATCTGCATTGTGCAGAGGACACAACCCTGCTTGCTGAAACTGAGGAGGACCTGAAGAGCTTGCTGCAGAGGGTCAAGGACTGCTGGCTTCAATATGGATTGAGGCTCAATATCAAGAAGACAAAGATTCTTACCACTGGACCAATTGGCAACATCAGGATGGATGGTGAAGAGA